AAAAATGTTTCATAAGTTACAGCTAAGCCTCGGATTCAAGCACCACACAGCAAAAATAGTTTAATAGCATGTTTCTCTTATACCCTGGATATCAGCTTTCTTTAATGACACAGTCACTGAATGTGTCCACAAAGAGCCTTGTAAGTCCAAAGAAGCTAAGATTTTATTTTATATTACATATGAGATGTCATGCTATAGATTTTCTCTTTGTCTAAATAGAAGAAAAATTTCATCAGCATTTTTAGCTGAAATTATTTCCTCTCCTCCCCCCAACTAGTCTTATTTTATTCATAAACATTAATAATCTTTTCTTGTATAAAAAAGGGAGTTTCAGGACATCCTAAAATTGGACTGGGTTAATTCTCTGTCTCCATGGACCACATGAAAAAGCCAGCCCAGGCCTTGAACTTTATCAAGATAAACCCCTGGCACCCACTAATCACCAGATTGGATCTTCACATAAGATAAGAGGAAGATTTTTGGCATGGGAATGAGCGCACACACCTTGTTGTTTGCAAAGGCCTGCAACCTGGCAGCCTTTCAGCAAGGTTTCACTCACATAGCTGTTACTGTATACTCTCCAGCTATGGCTGGGAAGTTGATAATCCTTAAGATATGAGGAGAGTTTTGATTTTTGACACAGCATTCCTGAGATAAATACAGGATCAGAGAGATGCTTTGAAATTCCCAGAGATATTCCATTGGTAAACTGCTACATGGGAACAACTTTTAACAAGGTGTCTTAAACAAATGAAAAAAGTTTAACTCACTGAGTTTTGTGTTCACCACCAGACAATACACTAAACGCAAACCAGACACTAAGTTACAGAGAGCATCCTGATGTCTGCTTTTCCAAAGTTTCCCACTGTACTGTTACTTTTTTCATGTGCCCCCAGAGATAAAAGCAATTATTTCCAACTCTGCTACAGTTTCCCCCCACAACAAAACAACATTGCCCCACTAGTATACTGATGTGAATTAAGAAAAATTTACCATCTTAAGATTAAATACAGAAAGAATCACCTTTAAGTGTTCGTAAAATTATTTTCTCCTTTCTATATTATTTAAATACAAAAATTTCTCACTTACAGCAACTTTCTCTGATGCTGGATTTAATATTTTACACCAAATTTAAAAAACTTGATTTATGAGCTAGTTAGCTATGTGCTCTATTATAGATTAATAGATTTACCATAAATGGGAGATTTTGGTAGTGATACGCACATCATAATTGACTTGAGGTAAAATATGCATCCACTAAACACATTTTTGTCTACCTGATATACTCAAGAAAGTAAGGAAATGAAAAAATGTCATAGGTACGAGCAAACTGACAAAAGTGAGGAAATGAGAAATTAAGGCACCAAGTTGTACTTGCTCTCTGCTCTACCACCACCAAGTACACAACTGACCATCACTATAGCAGAGACCAGGCAATGCAAAGGTAACTTGTCATTTTTTTCATTCTTCTGCTCACAGTACTTTGCCAAAAACTCAGAGCAGCACTTACCACTAAGGACAGAGGATGTTTGGTGCATGAAAAACTCTGCCTCTACTGGCTATCCCCTGGTGGTGGTGTTACTACTAACTCCTAGTATTATTATTATTCACCAACTTTTCTTTTGTGGCAATAATTAGACATTGTTGGGTCTGATCACCAAGACATATAACTTGGTGGCATATAAAGCAATTTGTTATAAAAATGACATTATAATGAGTAAAAATTGAATTAACGGTTCCTGAAACTAGTTACAAAATGCTAAGATAAATACCAAAGACCCAATTAGAATCACAGTCAAATGATCATTCAGGCAATATACTAAAATATGGTTCCTGCCCTGAAAAACAGTGGTTCCCAATCTTTTATTATATATAAAGTACTTTTGACACTATGGATTCCTATTTGAAATATTTGTATCACCCCTGGACACCACTGAAAGCACCTCAAGGCTCACCAAGCTGCCACAGCACTCTGGTTTATAATCACTAGTTTACAAATGGAGATTTAAAAAAATTCAGACTACACACAGGGGAAATGATGAAATAATGTAACCATTAAGCTAGTAAACATCTCCCTACAAATACATTCCACCAATGACCCAGAAACTGCACCTGAATTTCAAGTAGCCATTTCATAGAATCATAGAAAATTAGGGTTGGAAGGGACCTCTGGAGGTCATCTAGTCCAACCCCTTGCTCAAAGCAGGACCATCCCCAAGTAGATCATCCCAGCCAAAGGTTTGTATACCTGGGACTTAAAAACCTCCAAGGGTGGAAATTCCAGTCTCTCTGGGTAACCTGTTCCAGTGTTTTACTACCCTCCCAGTGACAAAACTCTTCCTAATATCTAACCTAAACTTCCCTTGCTGCAGCTTGAAACCGTTGCTCCTTGTTCCGTCATCTGTTTGTCCGCATCCTTTCTGTAGTGGGGGCCCAAACAGAACACAGTACTCCAGATGTAGCCTCACTAGTGCTGAATACAGGGGAATAATCATTTCCCTTGACCTGCTGGCAATACTCCTACCAATGCAGCCCAGTATACCATTAGCCTTCTTTGCAACAAGGGCATGCTGCTGACTCATATTCAGCTTACTGTCCACTGTAACCCCCAGGTCCTTTTCTGCAGACCTGCTGCTAAGCAGTCAGCCCCCAGCCTATACTGATGCATGGGATTGTTCCATCTCAAGTGCAGGACTTAGCAGCTGTCCTTGTTGAACCTCAGGAGATTTCTTTAGGCCCAATCCTCCAATTTGTCTAAGTCACATTGCATCCTAGCACTACTCTCCAGCATATCTACTACTCTTCCCAGCTTGGTGTCACCTGCAAATTTGCTGAGGGTGCACTCTATGCCATCTTCCAAGTTGTTGATGAACGCATTGAACAAAACCAGCCCCAGGACAGACCCCTGGGACACTCCATTTGATTCCAGCTGCAAACCAGACATCGAGCCATTGATTATTACTCTCTGAGCCCAGTGCTCCAGCCAGTTTTCTATCCACCTTACAGTGCATTCATCCAGCCCATACTTCCTTAGCTTGCCTGTGAGAATGTTGTGGGAGACTGTATCAAAAGCCTTGCTAAAATCATGGTACACCACATCCACTGGTCTCCATATCCTAAGAGCCAGCCACCTCATCACAGAAAGTATTCAGGTTGGTCAGGTATGACTTCCCCTTAGTGAATCCATGCTGACTGATCTGAATCACCTTCTTCTCCAAGTGCTTAGAAATGGATTCCTGGAGGATCTGCTCTATGATTTTTCCAGGGACTGAGGTGAGGCTGACTGGTCTGTAGTTCCCTGGATCCTCCTTTTTCACTTTCTTAAATATGGGCACTATGTTTGCCCTCTTCCAATCATCTGGGACCTCTCCTGATCACCATGAGTTTTCAAAGATGATGGCCAGTGGCTCTGCAATTACATCAGCCAACTCCCTCAGCACCCTCAGGTGCGTCCCATCTGGCCCCATGGATTTGTACATGTCCAGCTTTTCTAAATAGTCTGTTCTTTTGCCACTGTTGGTTGCTCACTTCCTCTCCAAACTGTGCTGCCAGGTGCAGTAATCCGGCAGCTGACCTTGCCTGTGAAGACAGAGGCAAAAAAGGCATTGAGCACTTCAGCCTTTTCTGGATCCTCTGTCACAAGGTTGCCTCCCCAATTCAGTAAGGGACCCACACTTTCCCTGCTCTTCCTCTTGCTAGCAACATATAGAAACTCTTCTTGTTACCCTGCACATCCCTTGCTAGCTATAACTGCAACTGCGCTTTGGCCTTCCTGACTTCATCCCTGCATGCCCAAGCAATGGGCTTATACTCCTCCCTAGTTATTTGTCCAAGTTTCTGCTTCTTATAAGCTTCCTTTTTGAGATTTAGTTTACTGATGAGTTCCCTGCTAAGCCAAGTTGGTCATCTGCCATACTTGCTAGTCTTCCTGTGCACTGGGATGGTTCGTTTCTGCACTCTCAGTAAGATCTCTTTGAAGTACAGCCAGCTCTCCTGCACTCCTCTCCCCCTCAGACTGGCTTCACAGAGAATCCTGCCCAATGCCCAAGTTCCCTGAGTGAGTCTAAGTCTGCTTTTCTGAAGTCTAGGGTCCTTACTCTGCTGCTCTCCTTTCCTCAGGATCCTGAACTCAATCATCTCGTGGGCACCATTGCCCAAGTTGCTATTTTCATACATACTAGTCATTCCAGCCTTAAATACCATTTCTCTTAATCAGAGGTATTTGAACTGTTAAAAAAATGACTAATAAAAAGTAAATTATTTTACTATACTTTCAGTTTATACAAGTGAGCATTCTTCAGATCATTAGAGAAAAGCCTTATCTAAAGATATTACTCATATGACAAGGAAGGATGCACTCCCACAAGCTTCTAGTGTTTTCAAGCAAGAATTAGCTTTACAAATTTTCTAACATGACAAATCCTAACTAAGCCAAAAAGTCTGTTTTTTTAATTTTAGTTGCAAATTATATTTGTTAATGTTATACTCTTTCATCCATCATCCAGAAGTTCGTTTTGGCCTTTTATACAAACATATTTTACATTCAGACTTCTACCTGTTTCTGGTTTTGCACTAATGCACAATTGTGTACAACCTAATCCAGTGTCATTACTGAAAAGTTCAGATATCCCATGTGATGACCATCTCCCCTCCTGCAATTAAAAATTATTTTAATTTGTCTGATACTTTTGCCGTTCATTGCCTATTATACTTATTATTTTCCTTCACTATAGATTAATAAGACATGTAAAAATATTACATGAATGTCTTGCAGAGCATAGTAACGTATCCTCAGGTCACATACTTCATTTTCCTGTAACATCAACACATCTTTCAACTGATATTTGTGAATTATTTGAATTTGCTCATATTATTATTAAATTACATCATATTGGTAATTCATCAGCTATTTAAGCACAAATGTCAGGTTACTACGGGACAGAGCTTTTTAGTACCTTCCCTTATATATTGAACTACACCAAGTAAAGAAATTACATTACCTATCAAAGGAATGGAACTGCACAGGCTGCTCAGCTGCTGTATCACCAAGAGCTCCAAGGAAGGTTGGTGGTAGAAGAGAAGCATCCGCTGCAGCCCCATCTGCTGGGGTGCTAACCAAGCTTCTAAGGATGTCCTTTACATTGACATTTTTGGCAGCTGCTACAGAAGATGCAGGTTTATTATCCAACTCATTTCCTGCCTCACTCTGATTTTCCTGAGATTTATTGACTTCTAAAGAAAGCGTGCATAGAACTTCACTGATGGCATCGGGGCCTGAGCTGACACACTGAGGTACTGCTTCAGCTACAACATCTGAATTGTTTGCTTGACCTGAAGTCGATTCCTCTCCAAGGCCAGAGTCTCTTCTTCGTACAGAGGATGTACTTTCAGAATCTTCAGCAGAAACTGGAGTTGAACCACCAAGAGTAGCAGAGGGGTTTTCTGCATCTGGTTACCCACAAACAGAAAGAAAAAGTATTTCAATGTCTCTATTAAAAGAACACCACCAGCCATATTTCTTCTAAAATACACAATCAATCATCAATAAATACATACCTAAAAATATTTTACATTAATATAAAAAAAAGTATTTGCAGGAAACTAGAAGAACAGACTTAAGGATAGGGTTTATGTTTTATACTGAATTCTCTCCCCCCTACAAGAAAGACAGCCGCTTGTATTTTTTTCTCTGCCCCACATTTCTACAAAATTAGAACTCAAAAGACAATAGAAATAAATTGGTGTAAAACTCAATATTCAAGAGATGGAAATCAAATCAGTTGTTCATGAGAGGAGAGAGGACAAAATGACATGTAAACAAAAGTAAATAATGGCCCTACAAATAATTACATAGCTAAAGCCAGCAAGTCCTCCTACTAAGTAAGTCTTCACTGATATTTAAGCCATTTAAATTAATCATTCACTAAACAGCATCAGCAATCTATAAATTGGGTTTTTCTCATTACTATCAAGCCACCAGAAGCACATGAATTTCTAAGCAAGTTAGATAATTATGTTATAAAGTTTATATATTTTAAGTGCTAGTGATGCAGATATTTGGACGCAGACAGAAGTGACAATTTTTACCTGACCTGGCCATAGAAAGCAATTTATAGCTGTGACCAAACAAGTTCACAGCTGCAGACAGTTTAAAAATGGCCAATTAGGTGAAAATTTCACCCCTTTGAAGGGTCAAATGAAGACGTTTCAAAAGTCAGCATCTTCTTTAACTTCTGTCTGCATTGCCTTTCAGCCTGAAGCGGGGAAGGGAGTGGAGGAAGTTTGGTCTGAGGTTTTTGTACCCCCTGCAGGAGGGTTGGGCAGGTGTACTGGAGCCCCCACCCTGCCCTGAGGTTGGGGGGGGGGTCTCCAGTTCACCCACCCCACCCTGCAGCCCCTAGAACAGGGTTCGGCAAAATATGGCCTGCAGGCCGGATCCAGCCCATGACGCCATTTTATCTGGTTCATGCAGCCCTTAAAAAAAATTTAGAAAATTAAAATTTATCTGCCTTTGATGTCAATCAGGGCCCGTTAGGGCTGCATGCGGCAGCAGCAGCTGCGCCCCCTGCTTACCATGCTGCTTACAAACACTGCCCAGCCCAACAGGCAAGCCCAGAGCCGGTACAGGGCCCTGGACGCGGGTTACAAGCTGGTGCTGAGTGCGGGAGGGAAAAGCAGCCCCTCCCTCACCCCATGCCTGGTGCCCCACACTGCAGCCGCTCGCAGCCCACATGGGGTTGCCTGTGCCTGCTCAGGACAGCCCCATGCGAGCTGCAAGCAGCTGCAGCAGGGAGCGCCAGCCAGAGGGTGGGCAAAGGGCCATTTTTCCCCGTGCTCCACACAAACTCATTACCTGCTGGTGAGCAGGGGGTCAGGGTTGCACACTTTCCCCTGCCTGTACCACGGGACTGGGGGGGTACTGGGAGTGAGCAGGTGTAGAAGCAGGGCCCGCATCCGTGTCCCAGGGCCAGCTCATCTCAGAGCAGGGCAGCAGGAGTACAGGGTCCCAGCTGGCAGGGGCTCTATGGAGTTGGGCCAGCTCCCCACTCTCCCTGCTGGTGCAGCCCAGCCTGGCTCCAGGCCCCTACCAACCTGCGCCCCGCTTTGGGCCCCACTGGTGCTGGCCCTGGGATACTGGTCCTAAGACATTGGAACACTGGTCCCAAGCTGGTGACCAGGGGGCAGGGCTCCTGTCATGGGGCGGGGCTGCCATCAAGGGGCAGGGCTCCCCATACGGCCCTTGACAGCTTGCCACAACTTGGTAAGCGGCACTCCGCCCAAAATAATTTCCTGACCCTGCCCTAGAACAAGCTCCATCTTCTCTTTCTCCCCTCCCCTTCTGAAAATTTTGTACCCTAGAAGGGAGCAGGGGCCTTTGCTAGGGGAAACTGGCTGCAGCTGGCTGCACTGCTAGGGGAAACAGGCTCCCAGCCAGCAGCTAGATTCCCCTCCCCCCTGGAACCAACAGTGACCTTCTCTTTAGTCTGGGGGATCATGGCAACGCGGAACATTTTCTGCTCTCAGTTACAGCAGAGAGCTACACTTCCGTCTGTACCCTTTATGTACCATTTTCAGCAGCATTCTGTTTGGACCTGTGAGGCAACTTAGGTCACAAGTGGCATATGGTATACAATCAGGCACCTGTATCAGTCACTAACCTGTAGTTGTTTCACTACTTCCATTCTCTGATCCCTTAAAGGACTGGCTTCGATGAGGTTTTTTTCTTTCATTCTGAGGTTCCAATATGTCCCTGTATTTTGATACCATGAGGACTGATATAAAATACACAACAGCCAAGGCCAAAAACTGAGCCTGTTTGCTATCCTCCTGTGAAAAACAATGTTTATATCTTTGATTACTACTCAAGTAGAGAACTATTTCTCTTCTATGTGGCATCATAGGTGGAGAGAGAAAATATTATTGGGGGGGGGGGGG